CTGGAAGCTCTGCTGGTTCACCAGACTGTAAACGAGGATGAAGCCCTGGCCGTTCTTGATGTACAGGTCTCGCATTGAGGCGAACTGCTCGGTACCGGCGGTGTCCAGGATCTCCAGAACCGACGGCGACGAGTCCACCTCGATCTCCTTGCGGTAAAAGTCCTCTATCGTCGGGTCGTACTTCTCGATGAAGGATCCGGTGACGAACTGCACGGTTAGCGCGGATTTTCCCACGCCACCGGAGCCCAACACGACCACTTTGTATTCTCTCATGGCTCCTTCAGACGGGCACGGGCACGGACTCTCGGTCGCGCGTGCGTGCGCGCTCTCTGTCTCTCTCTCTGGTCTGAAACGCGCCGCGTGCACCCGCCTTGGGCTCAATCCGCATGAATTCAGGTCCAAACTCCGGGTTCGGGCTCGCGCGCGTGTGCTCCTGCTCGAAGCGTGTTCCGCGGTGAGAATGAGCTCGATTCCGCATCAGAAGCGCATCGTGCTGGAGCTTGTTCCGTGTCTCCGCGAGAGATCAATGCGCCTCTCTCTCTCTCTCTCTCTCCCTCTCTCTCCACAGCTCACCTCTCACACATACACACACACGAGCGCGCGCGCACTCTCCTGCCACAGTGCGCAGCGCGTCACGCGCTGACGTCACCAGCCGAGCGTTTCTTAAAGGCACAGTCACATAAACAATGACTTGTTGATGTCTAGTCACGGTGGTACGCAGTATGGAATTTCCATTTCTGACACATAAGAAGTGCTTTATGTAATTTGAAATGATGACATAGTAAATTATATGAGATGAATGTAAAAAATCAAGTCCAATATTTCCACATAATCGAAATTATGACATAAAAAGTCCAAATTATGACATGCATGCTGAATTATGAGGTTAAAAAGTCAAAATTATTAAATAAAAACTTGTAATATGACAGATAGAAATTATGACATACTCAATTATAATTATGGCACTGCAAGGCAAAATTTCAGACATACTCACTAAATCATATAAGTGACAAACACTTATATGTCCATGCCCATTTAATCGAAATTATGACTTAAAGTCATAATTAGGACATAAAAAGTCTGATTTGTGACATACATAGTTATGACATACAAAGAAATTGTGACATACTAAATTATAATTATTACATGGCAAGTCAAAGTTATGGCATACAAAGTCATAATTGTGATGAAACAAGCTAGAATTGAAAAGCCAAAATTATGTCAAAATTATAATTTACCAAAACATGATTTTTTTCCACATGTGTCAGAACAATAGTGGTAGTTGGACAATTTAAGTGGTGTCAAAGCAGCTTCACATTAATTAACAGGACAATAACAGTGTGAATGTTGCAATCAATTACAGGCCTAATGAACGTCTCTCTCCAGTGACGATGACGGAAGATAAGAAGCTGCAAAACTGAGAGAAATACTCATTATGGAGATCTGATCGTCATGTGGCCTTTATGAAACCATTTTATTTTGGCTTGACATCATAAATCACAATTTATTTCCATTTTTTTAGTTAAATTTGAAGTGAAAGGAATTCATTTACTCAAAAGTAAACTGAGGGAACTGTGATTTTAGTGTGAGCTGTGCCTTTAAAGGTGTGTGTGTGTGTGTGCACACGCCTCACTGTAGAAACGAGTGTCGCAACCGCACGAGTCACAGCCAGAAACTCTGAGATTTATCATAAACTGATGTTATATCAGTGTGTTTCGAAAGAGTTCATCTAGAATACGTTTGGATGTGTTTGAGATATTATAGAGTTATGCTGCACTCGTATAAACATGTTGGCCTGAGATATTTGTGTTCATATCCTGACGGAAATCTGTCTTTATAATGCGGTTCGTGACATCAGAGTAATTCACCAGAGCTCACTCAGGAATTTCCTGGGAAAGCCAGATCTGTGATTAACGTTCCTTGAAAAAGACTTTGATCACAACAGCCCAGATAACAGGCGACGATCTGGCAAAGTTAGGAACAAACTCTCCTCCAGGAACGTTCGTAGAAAGTTATATAATGTTCTCAAAACGTTAGAGCAAAAACATTCATCGTTCATGGAGCGTTTCTGAATCGTTTCAGTTCGACGTTCCTCTGATGGTTTTTAAATGTTACTTGTTTCAGAACGTTACATTACAAAGTAACGTTCTCATAATGTTTGAAGAATGACATTCGCTTAATGTTCACACAACCAAGAAAAACTGTTTTAAAAGTATAATTGAATTATGTCACAGAATGAAAGTCTCTTTAAGTAATGTTCAGTGTAGTGAACTCTCTAGACTGTAGAAAAAACTTACTTTTTAAAGTCATTTCAACTTCAATTACATGAAACTGATTTTAAGGAATGAGTTGAATCTTGTGTAACTTATAAAAAACAAATTTGACAGTTGCCTAACTTATTTTGATGAGTTAAAGCAATGCAAAAACATATGTTGTCATAACTTATTGATCATAGTTTGTTTTTTTTAAAGGAAGAAACGAAATTGCTTAAACATGAAGTTTCGAGAGTCTGAGGCCAGACACATCAGCTGATGTTCCCTTAGGGTGGTGTTCGGGTGAACACACACACACACACACACACACACACACACACACACACACAGACAGCTGATGTGATCAACACTATAAATAGCTCCAGACTGACTCATTTCCTGAATGTGAGTAAGGTGATGCAGTTTCTCAGGTGTGTTACACACCTTTATCATGCGGGAATGATGCGGCCCGACCGGCCCGACGCGTGACCGAACCCGTTCCTCATCCGTCCTCGCCGAGACCAACAGTGGAAGATGAACAAAAAGCAAACGGCATCAGACACCATTGATGTGTTCCTCTAGTGTGATCAGGACACTACAGTTAAATAAAGCAAACGCACACATTACACACAATAACTCTTCACACAGACACACACTTTGAGCTGATGATGTTTTGCTCTTTTTACACACACACTGAACAACATGAAGCATTGCTTGGTCACTGGTTGAGCTAAACTGGTATTATCTAATTGTGGAGTTCAATTGAACAGATATTCAACATAATTCATGTGTGAGAGTCCAACAGAAGGACGGACTAAACCAGTCAAATATCCACTGATCTGAGACCTGAGTTCTGTCATATTTATACACTAGAGCCGATAAACTGATGATGATGATGATGATGAATGATGATGACATCTCTGAATACAGATCCTCCTACAGGTTTGGAGAGTTTCACATTAGTGAATGATGACAGAGTTCACACAGATACAGTCGTCTGTGTTTGGACAAACAGAAACACACGCTGGGCGTCACATGACCAGAGATCGGATCGGGCGTTTGAAATCAATCTGATGTCCGGACTGTGTTAATGATCCTCCTAAACTCGACTGGCCTGCGGTCAGATCATTCACATCACTGCATCAACACTGAACCTGACAGACTCACAGGATCACACAGAACCGCTCTGCTCTGCTCTGGTGTGGTCAATGAAGTCTCAGGTCTGGTCTGGTGTGGTCTGGTCTGATTTAGTCAGTGAAGTCTCAGGTCTGGTCTGGTGTGGTCTGGTCTGATTTAGTCAGTGAAGTCTCAGGTCTGGTGTGGTGTAGTCTGGTCTGGTCTGGTCTGGTCTGGTCTGGTCTAGTCAGTGAAGTCTCAGGTCCCCAGACAGTGAAATGCGATTAAGCCTCAGATGTCGAAGGTTCATCAGCAGATCTGCTCCACCCGTCACACACATCAGCCAGTGTGTGTGTAGTTGTGGTGTGTGTGTGTAGTTGCGGTGACTGTTGACTGTGGATGAGCTTCTGATGGTCTTCTTCAGTGATGTGGTAAACAAGCTCGTCACACCTTTAAACAACAACACACTCAATCACTCTCATCAAGAGCCACCAGACACACAACCAGTGCTGAATACACATGATCTAACACGAGGACTATTATTGTGTGTGTGTGTGTGTGAGAGGGTGTATGAACTCATAGACTGATAGACCAGTTCTCTGTAGTTTTGCTCAGGCTGATGAATCACATGATGACAATCCTTAGGGTTAAACCAGAGCCTCGGCACTTCCTATTAGCCCCGTTGTGGATCATCTTGGTTGCAGTTCCATTATAATTCCACTGGGGGTGATCACGGGCGAGAGCAGAATGAATGGGAGTCTATGGGGCTAAACGGCTAAAAGTGTCTCTTTCACCTGCTTGTCGTTAAATCAACATGGATTTTATTGTTGATTCCGCACGTTCAATATAGATTATAGGCCAAAAGTCGAATGAACGAGTACTTATGTCCTTTTGATTTTTTACAGTTTAGGCTGTTGTTGGCCGGATCACGCTAGTATTCTGCTATTGTGTGACGTCATCACGGTTTTGAACAGATTTTTAGAACAGATAAGTGAACTTAAAAATGCAGTTTTCAGCTGAGTGTATTTTCTTAGCCCTCCCTTTTGAATGCAACTTTCAAATTACTTGACAAAAAAATTACATCCTGAGAAAAGTGGATTTCTGGGGGTGAAACCCCATTGACTCCCATTCATTCTGCACTGGACCGCGAGCGCCCCCGCATGGACAGAGACGCGTTACTGCAGCCAGTTCAGAACCCGGAAGTAACCAGCCAGTGCCAATTCTCCTCAATTAGACATTCTCTAGTTAAACAGAAGTGACTCTGACCTCTGACCTCCACCTGACCTCACATCTGATCTCTGACCTTCACATGACGACCTCCACCTGACCTCTGACCTCTCATTAATGCTGAATATTGTGGCTATGACCCGATCCAGATCTCCAGCTGGTTCTGATGGGAGATTCGGGGAATGCTCTACAACAGGAGCACTGACACACGTGTGTGTTAATCAAACTCATGACTGTGTTGTACAGAAACCCTATTACCTAATATTTTCCGCAAATCAAACATTTATTCAGTATTTTGAAAGATGAGGGATATATGCTACTATCACAAATACATACATAAATGTAATATGTATCCCATCAGGCTGTTCCCGACACTGGAGTGAGTGAGTGAGTGTGTGTGTGTGTGTGTGTGTGTGTGTGTGTGTGTGTGTGTGTGTGAGGGCATCCTCGTGTAGAGGCTTTTAAAATATAATACTCTTGTCTTAAGAATTCTCACATTCGAAACAATTCTGTGCACTTTATTTCCAGAAGAGGTCCTGGTGTGACAACATGCCCCAGTGTGCCTGAGCAACCAGCCGCCTCGAAGAGGAACCCGGAGGAACACTTCACTGGAGTAAAGAGTGTGTGTGTGTGTGGCGCAGTGGGTCCCTCTAGTGGAGGAGCAGAGACTCGATCAGGGCTGTCCCTGAGGGTTTTGCATTGACTGACAGCGCTGATACATGTGCACCCGATCAGCGCAGTCATTACTCCTGTCACAGGGCATTATGGGTAAAGATGACGAATGGTTCAGCTAAATATGACAACAATCCC